GATAGGCCTGTATTGCTATAAACTTCCCTCTTAGAACCGCTTTTGCTGTATCCCATAAATTCTGGCATGTCGTATTTTCATTTTCATTTGTCTCCAGGTTTCTTCGTTGACCCAGTCATTGTTCAGTAGCATTTTGTTTAATCTCCACGTATTCGTGGATTTTCTGATTTTCTTCCTATAGTTGATTTCTAGTTTCATACTGTTGTGGTCAGAAAAGATACTTGGTATTCATGCATTTGTTTTTAAACCATGTCTCATGGCTCTGTTTGCACCCAAAAGAGAGATTCATCATGTCTCTTAAAGAGATAGATCTATGGTTGGTGATTTTAAAAATCAATTATATAAATATTAAAAGTTTATCATGATATCATTATTTTTACCATTGTCATATGAGCCCTTGGTAAGTTACTCTTTCTTACCTCTTCAGAAGAAGCGATTCTTTCTTACTGTTTGATCTTAAATATATGTACGTTTGCTGTAATTTGATAGGAAATTCTAACTTGAAATGTTGAATATAGCATTGTGTCAAACATAAATGTTATAAGGTTATAAACATATTTTTGTTGTTGTTCCAGGGCAGGCTTTCTATTTTGAAAGTCTGTACAAAAAACATGCCAATAGAGCCTGATGTTTCCTTAGAAAACCTAGCAGCAGAAACCTGTTTTTTCTCTGGAGCTGATCTTGGAAACCTCTGTAGAGAAGTAAGTTAATTAGTGAAGAAACCTATGGTTCAAAACATTTCTTCATTTATTCAGATCTTCATTCACTGGGTGGTATTTACTGAAAGACTTCTATGTGGCCGGCACCATGTAAGGTGAGACAGATGCGGCCTCTTCGCTTCCCTTACGGAGCTTACAGGTTGATGGTGGGGCGCACAGAGAGGCAAATCGTAATACTGAATTGGCAGTTGAAAATATACCGTGAGTTGGGGAAGTTTAGGGTGCTGTGGGAGCCCCTAGGAAGGACACCAATCCAGACTTAACAGTGTCAGAGAAGGCTTTCTGAGAGAAGGCATGTGTGAACTGAAATTGGAAGGATGATTAGGGAGTTAGCCAGGCTAAGGGAGGTAAGGGGAGTGTTTGAGGCAGAGATTGGAGGGAAGAAATGACATGACATTGTTGAAGAGGTGTCTAACGGCTAGATCACACAGGTCCTTGTAAGCCACTTTATGGCATTTAGATTTTATTTTGAGGGCAAAAGAAGCCATTGTAGGTCTTTCCCTTTCCATAAACTTTTATTAAATATGACATTCAGAAAAATGCACAAATTATAAAGATACAGTTCATTGAATTAACATAAAGTGAACACACTCGTATAACCACCACTCGGGTCAAGAAAGAACATTATCAACACCCCAGAAGCTTCCCTTGGGCCTTCCCAGTCTCTATCCTAAGAGGGAACCACGCCCCTGACCTCCAGCACTGGAGGTTAGTTTTGCCTGCTTTTGCACTTTATATAAATGGAACCATATGGTATACTTTTCTATCTGCTTCTGTAACTCAAGACTGTTGGTGAAATTCATCTATGGTTTTGTGTGTAGCACTAGTTTGTTCACTTCCATAACTTTATGATACTCTAGAATATGAATATACCACATTTATCTTTTATTTTTGAACATTTGGGTTACTACTTTTTTGCTATTATGAATTATGCTGCTATGAACGATTTTGTACATGTCTCTTGGTATACGTGTGTATGTGTCTATTTCGTATAGTATATTCCTACGAAGAGAATTGCTGGGTCATAGAGTATGTGTTTGATCTGTTCATTTATGATCAGTGCTGTGTCCTGTTTAAAAACTCCACTCTGAGGTCAGGAAGATAGTCTCTCATCTTTAAAATATATAGATGGGTTCATAATGTATATATTATTCTGCAACTTGCTGTCTCTTTTTTCCCAATTAGAAAAGGAAAGATGGTCTACTAAGAGGACTTTTAATCACTTTGTTTAACTTTTTAGCTTAATGGTTTCAGTGTTGTGAATATTGGAATTCTATGAAGTGAGACTAAGATTTTTGCATTGGTATTTTAAATTATTACCATATATTATAAAACAAAAATGAAGCAAATTAATTCCTATTGTTTATCTCTTATAGGCTGCCTTGCTGGCTCTGCAAGAAAATGGACTAGAAGCAACCACAGTGAAACAAGAGCACTTTCTAAAATCACTTAAGACTGTAAAACCATCCTTAAGTCACAAGGATTTAACTTTATATAAAAACTTATTTCAGAAACAAGGATTTTCTAACTTAGAGGATATTTAAAAATTACTTTACACAGCTGCTCAAGGATTAATTGAAATGTGAATTTGCGCTTTAGTTTGCGACTTCACACTTTGAGAGTTTGTGTGTGTGTTATTTCCTGTAAATAAAAAACTTGTGCCTGATAAGCTAAGATTTATCTTATTTCTAAAAGATATATTAAAATACCATAATTTAGGAAGAAAATGTACGTATGTGTGTTGATTTTGTAATGGGGGTGGTGGTGATTTTGTTTTGTTTTGACTGATTGCTTTTTTTAACTTTATTTTGAAATAATTTCATACTTACAGAAAAGTTGCAAGAATAGTACAAAGAACTCATATACTCTTAACCCGGATTCACCACTTTTTTACATTTTGCCATATTTGCTTTCACTCTTTCTCTCTCCACACACACGCAGTATTTTTCTGAACTATTTAAGAATAGATTTTATACACCATGCCCCTTTATCTCCTTAATACTTCAGTGTATATTTCTTACAAATAAGGTTATTTTCTTATATGACCACTGTGCAGTTATCAACTGCAGGAAATTTAACATTGATACTATATTCTAATCTGTCATCCAATGAATTTCATCCATTGTTCCAATAGTAATTTTTTTCCCATTAGAGGCAGACTTAGTATTTTATAGAACAATTGGCTCCTGATTTGTGTTTGTCTGGTGTCTCATCGTGACAGATTCAGGTTATGCATCACCAGTGGAGCGCTACAGAAGTGCCGTCACGTCCTCAGATCGCAGCTGGTGGTACGTGACATCTGCACATTATTGGTGACGTTAGTTTTGATCACTTGTTCATGGTATTGTCCAGTTTCTCCACTGTATAGCTACTATTTTTCCTTTTATAATTGTAAGTACTTTTTAAGGACATAGATTATATGTACATTTTTATTTTCCTTTATTACAAAAGTAATTAGGATTAAAAAGTAATTAGTAAAAGTAATTAGAATGCTAGAAAATACAGATAAACACAAAGAAAACACTTGGGTATGGAACTTTCCAGTACTTATACATGTATAAATAATTTTTTAAAACGATAAAAGCGGGGTATTGTAACTCTTGTGTTTCTCACCTAACAATATCTGGTTAAGCATCTTCCTGAGCCTTCACTCACAATGTGCCATACTAGGTGTTAGAGTGTAGTGGTGGGACAGACCCAGCACTGATGGGGCAACTGGGAGCACGGACCTCAGACAAACCATGCAGTGAATTAAGCACAACCAGGAGATGTGCTTCCACAGACGTAAAGGGTGCGATCAGAGCACAGTGCAGGAAATACAGGAAGTTGTAAGTGTTAAGCAGTTGTTGGAAAGTTTCCTATTGCTGACTGGAGCCAGGACTATTGATTAAGCAAAACCTCACTATTTGGGAATAAGTAAGGAAAAGACTTGTCTTAATTATAGATACAAAATATAATTCAATTCCAATTATTCTAACATACTGACTCTTCGCTTTTGAGTAGTAGGGAAAATACCTAGAAACCTTATTAGAATTCTGACAGTTTTCATTCATGTTCTCTATCAGTTACTGATTTTATAAGACAAGGCAGCTGTGAAGACTTCGCCGTCCCAAGGCCTGAGGCACCCTGGCCTGAACTCCTTAACTCAGACGCTAGCTGTGGGCTCCTTGTTTTTTTCTAGAAAAAGTTTCTAGTGGTCACGCTGGAAATTTAGTATCCATACTTTGGTTAGAGGCTGAGTTTTTATTTGAAAATGTCTTTTTAAATTGTAACTGTAACTTCTCAACAGAACATTGGAAGCTTGAGGACAAAATCCATGGGTCTCCTCTCACTGAAATACTCAATAAATGATGAAGTCAGATCAAAGATTTCTTTGACTCAGTTTTATGTGATTTCAAGATTGCTCTGGGCAACTTCCAAAAGCTGTGTTCTTAATTGGTGAGAAAATTAAAACACTTCAGCTTCTAAGCACCTGGGAAGTGTCAACAGTTTTCCCTGTACATTGAGCTCCAACTCTTTTCTGAGCCATATTAACAACCTTAAACAATACAGTACACCCTCAGACCTAAAATTTAGCAAATCCAGGATTTGCTAAACCTGATAAACTAGGCAGCCACTGAAGGATGGGCAGAAAGAATTTCAACAAAAAATATTTAATAAAAGAATATGCTATTTTTCTTATAAAGCCTGAGCTATTTTAATCCTGATTAAAATCTAAGTTTAAATTCCTGGAGTGGGAACTAAGCAGCCATGGCTCCATGCCTCTGCAAGCCTCAGTTTCAGCAGCTAGAGAAAGTTCTAGAAGTTTCTGGCAATTAGGGTGGGGCAGGGAAGCTCCCCCAAGGGATTATTGGCTTTGGAACAGCCACAGAGGGTGATGCTGGTAAGTGTCCTGAGTGGGTTCCTTTGGGGGCTGCTAGGGTTTGAAGGGTGGGAGCTGTGCCTGCTAGTCATCCTGGGAAAGACCAAACTACACGTTGACCTTGCATCTCCCACAAGCTAAATAAACCTGGGCATTAACTGAAAGAGGCGCAAGTGTGGCTTTCTGGGTCTAATTCTCATGGCTGCAAATAGAAATAAGCAGATCTTAAAGGTTATATGGGCACATTATAATTGTATATACTATTTGTGAATTTTTAAAACGTTCTATTAGGAACATTTTCAAACATACATAAAAGTAGATTCATAGAATAACAAACTCCCACATACCTATCACCTAGATTGAATAATTATTAATATTTTGCTAAATTTGCTTCATTTGTTTTTTAACTGAAGGGTTTTTTTTTTTAATGAGGAAGATTGGCCCTGAGCAAACATCTGTTGCCAATCTTCCTCTTTTTTTTTTTTTTTGCTTGAGGAAGATTGGCCCTGAGCTAACATCTGTGCCAGTCTTCCTCTACTTTTCATAGGTGGCATGCTGCCAGAGCATGGCTTGATAAGCAGTGCGTAGGTCTGTACCCAGGATCCGAACCCGTGAACCCCAGGCCACTGAAGTGGAGCATGCGAACCCAACCACTATGCCACTGGGCCAGCCCCTAACTGAAGTATTTTAAAGTAAATCCCAGACATCATATTTCTCCCTTAATTATTTCCATATACAATCTCTTTACATAACCATAATACCATTATTACACCTAACAAAATTAACAATACTCCTTTAATATTATTTCATACCTGGTCTGTATTTAAGTTTCTCTAATTGCCCCCAAAATGTATTTTTACAGTTGGTTTGTCTATTTGTATATTCAAATAAATACCCTCACCTTTGATAAGTTTTCTCAGACCTCCTTAGTCAGAATTAATTATCTGTCAGGGGTGGGGAGGGAGAGTTATTAATGGGCACTAAATAGTAAGAATCTTGAAGTAAGAGACTTGTGTCTTATTAATCTTTTAAATTCACCGGGCCCTCATTCCCAGAAGAATGCCTAGACTAATGACATCGGTAAAGCAGGGCTCTGAGTTTAAGGTCATTACTACGCAGGGGCTACACATTTCAATTTGTGGGCCATGATGCTTTCCTGTAAGATTTCTTCCATTCTTCCTTTCGCCCTTCCTAGAAAAACAAAATGAGGTTTTTTTTTTTTTTTTTTAGAACTTTCTGACAAAAGTAGCTTTAGACATCCTGCAGAAGGAGCATTAAGAGGGTTCTCTATTTCTATTCAATACAAACCATGGAGCATTAATGTTGAATTTTCTTAGAAGTATCTGATGTGAATCTAACCAATGGGCAAATGTCTCCAGTTACTGCTCTGGGGTTACACATTAAGAACTCTTGCCAGAATAAGTGGGCAAGAAGCTACATTTATGATCTACCTTATATAAAACAAATCTTTGCGAACAATAATTACTATTTATTGAATGCCTACTACAGGCAAGGCAGAATGCCGTGTGCTTTACATACATACATTCTCACATTTTTTCCAAGTCCCTCCTGAACTAGGTTTGTCCCATTTTACAGATATATAAACCGAGACTCATAAAGGTTAAGTAGTTTCCTCCAAGTCAGTGAGCTCATAAGGCCTGGCAGGGGTGGGCTCTGAACTCAGGTCTATTTGAATGCAGAGCCTATGTCTAGAACTAAAATGGGGTTGAAACAGAGCTGGGTGTGGCCCTTTTCAGGGAACAGTAAGATGTTTCCGTTTTAACGTTAACTCATAGCTTGAACTTCAAACAGTTTTAAAATAATTGTTTTTAAATAACTGAGCTTGCGCTCTTGTCTTAACTGCAGTAGCTAAGAGCTGGGTGCAGAAAGGACAGTGAAGTTGAGTGCAAGACGGACCTGGGTTTGATTACATCTCTGCCACTTATTGGCTATGTGACCAGAGCATCTCTGAGCCTAAATAACATACCTTGCAAAAATGCCGAGAAGATTCCGGCACACGGCCCCTGATTTAATGGAATTGTTGTTATTATTTCCGTGGTTTTGCAGCCGCCTGCATGCTCTGTGCACACCGAGGCTGCTCGCTAAGCGGCGAGTTAAAAGGGGGCTTCAAGACGAAGCCAGCCTGCGGGGTCGTCTGTCTCATAGATGAAACCTTGGAAACCTTTCCAGCTGATTCTTTTTGTTTCTTCTCCCTCGACCCCCCTGATTTTTTTAATGGAAATAATCAGGATACCATAGGAGTTATTCTGAAAGGAACGTTAGAATTTAATTTTAATTATCTCCATATGTGCGCTACATCACATTTTGGAGCTTTTAATGTGATTGGATTAATTCTAATTTACCTGCCTGCACCTGGGAGCCTCCCCGGGACCCTCGGCTCTGCGGCTGCTTTTCCAGATTCCCTGTGAGAGAGGTTGGTTTGCACCTTGTTCCCAGTTCCACCCCTTGCAGGCGCCGGGGACGGCTGGGAGCGACCCGGAGCGCCCACGCCCAGCCTCGGCTGGCGCCGGGCTGCAGGTAACAATCGGGACGAGCGGCAGGGGGCGCCGGCGCCCGCGTTTGGCTGCGCAGCGTCTGTGGGCACGGCGTCCTGCAGGGGGCGCCCGGGAGCCGGGCGCCGAGCGGGGCAAGCGAGCCCGAGCCAGGCAGGTCCCGTACGCCCCCGGCCCACCCGCGTGACCAGAACGCCCGGGCCCGGCCCTTCCGGAGCGGTTGTGGCTGGTATATAAGGCGCGGCGGCCGAGGCTCCGTTCGGCTCTGGGCGTTAGCATCGTCGGTGTCCCGGTTCCGCTCGTCCCCCGGGTGAGCTGCCCTCGGGCGAAGGCGCTCGGGAGCCGGCCCGAGGCTGGCTTTTGGGGAACGTGGGATGGTCTGGCGCCCGCCAGGTTGGGTCCTAGTGGCTGAAGTTTTGATCAATATCTTGGATTTTTTTATTCCAGATTTGTTATTCTACAGTGAAGTCATCATGAACTTTTTCCAACTCCTGAGGAAAAAGAAGGAAGTAAGTTTCTAAAACAATTGAAAATCTTGACTGAAAATATTGATTTTTAAAGATGGACGGTTGGTGCAAATTTTGAAGAAAGTATAAAATGGTATATAGCAATTCTGTTATATTTCAGATGTTTCACGTTGAAACATGGGAATATTTACCCTCAACTTGTTCTCTGTTAGCTTATCCCTTTGGTGGCGTTCATGAGCGTGGCAGCGACCGGAGCGGTGTCTTTTGCTTTGTATTCCCTTAAAAAAACCGACGTGATGTAAGTAGGCATCATTTCTAAAAGCGCTTGTAGCTGTGCTAGGTTGGCCTTCAGTTTATGAAACGCATGAGATCAGTTTCCTGGTTCTCCCCCAGGATCAGAATGTCAAATTGTGAACTTGGCGTCAGGGCTGGAAAGCATCCTGGTATCAGAAGACTATGAAATTATGATATTAATAAAATTAGTTTGTTTCGTGTATCTAAATATCCTTTCCTCCACTGACCCTCCTCCTCTTCTCCTGCAGCATAGTTAAGCTTTGAAATTTAAAGCACTTAAATGGTATTTTGGGATATACATCCTCTAACTTAAATCATCATTTTAATGAAATTTTTAAATTTCCGTTTATTAGAAAGATCTTTCCTAATTCGGTAGAGTTTATAGATTCAGTTGTCTGCAGTGAACCTAATCTCAGCTCTGGGTATAAGAAGGTAAAATACCATGTATCCTGGAAGATGAGGAAGAGGAAAACTTGAGCCTGATCTTGGCCCAGTGCAGGGCTGGAGAGGGTAGTAAAGCTAGGCTCTGACAGGGGCCTAGGGCCCTGCAGTTCACCACCTACAAAGTTCAAGTCCAGCCCTTCTGCTGGTCCCAGAAACCAGGGCAAGAACATTTTTGCTTATCCTTATCCTGGCCTTTCCACCCGCATTGCTATTCGGCTTATGGGAACATTCGCCAATTTGGCCCAATAAAAGGACTACGACCTCCTACCCTGCAGAGGACTTAGTCCTTAATGTTTGAGCCAAACTGTGAAGCTCCTTGACAGAATATTGATAGGAGTCCTCTATCAATTTCACTTAACAGATAAATGCCTAAGTAGGCAGTCTGGGTCTGTCTCTAGCATGTCTATAGACCCAGTATCAGAGTTGGTTTAAATTCACTTACTTTAATGTTTAATAAGCTTTCTTTTATTTTTAGCATTGATCGGAAAAGAAATCCAGAACCTTGGGAAACTGTGGATCCTAGTGTACCTGGAAAGGTATTGCTAAATTTTAAAGTGATTTACATTTAGTTCGAGCTTTAGCACCCTTGTCAGCAAAATAGATTTAATACCTTTCATGTTTAGGGTGCTGTTTAGTGTTAGAGAGAGTGCTGTAGAGTTTTAGAGATCTAGTGCAAATCCTTGTTCCCTTATTCACAGGCGATTTTAGACAATTTGGCCTCTCTGAGGCTCTCAGAATCTATAAAATAGGCACAGTAATAGGGCTCTACCTCAGAATTAAGAGGATTAAAGAAGATCAAGTACGTAGAGCCCATTAGTACAGTGCCTGGCCCATAGTAAGCAGTCAAATATTTTATCATTATTGTAACACATTATCTCATTTTTATGCATTATTTATCTAAAGTTGATATAAGGTCTATTGTGATAAATAATAGGAGTTCCTGAAAACAGGAATGACATTCTCTTTAAGCAAAATTAGCTAATATCTACTCATTCTTTTAAGACTATTGCAAAGATGTTTTACATTTTAAATATTTTGGAAGTAAGAAACATTTAGTCTGTTGGAATGAATACTACTTAGGTCTGTCAGGAAAGCTGTATATTTTTTTTTAACAAAACTTTCTAATAACACAATTTGACTTAGTTTTAAAGATCCTAAATGTCCTTCATTATCTACATCTCCTAGGTCCTGGGGTAATAGAGAACTTGTGAGGATAAATGAGAATCTCTGAATGTGAGTTCTTGGGAAGTCAGGGACTGTCCACAGCTCTCTCCCTGTCCCTTAGTGTATAGATCATTTGTACCTTCGTTGAGTAATTACAATGAGGAAATTTTGTCAAGAGCATACTGTGTGCCAAGTCCTGTGCTAGAAGCATTATACATCCACTCATAAGGAGCTGAAACACTTTTTTGAACTTATAGGTCATATAAAACCTTGGGAAATTAAAAAATCTAGAACCTGTTAAGTGAAAATGGGGCACATGTATATGACCTTTCTCTCTGATCCTATAACACTCAGGAACCCAGGGGCTTTTTAGAGTGATAGAAACCAGCCCATATTACTGTTTTGTGCATGTTTTAGAGATGGGAAGAGGTGATTCTTTGACTACAAATGCTATGGTGATGCTTTTTCCAAAGGGGAGTGTGGACAAATCCCAAAAGGGGATGTGAGGATGAAGGATAGGTCCTAGCCAAACATTTTTATTTTCCTTTTTTTTTAAGCTTATAACAATCAACCAAGAATGGAAGCCCATTGAAGAGTTGCAGAATGTCCGAAGGGCGACCAAATGACCAGCCCTCGCCCCTTTCTTCCCAAGAGTACTCTATGAATCTAGTGGAAACACTTCTGCACAAACTAGATTATGGATACCAGTGTGCGGAAATGCTTCTGCTACATTTTTAGGGCTTGCCTACATTTTCGGACTCAGGATAAGGAATTGTAAAGACAGTGCAGCAATAACCACATTGTCCAAAAATAAGTTTCTGTGTTTATTTTCTTGTTGTAAATTTGAATTTTGCATATTGGAATTTTTATGTTTATGATGCCTGAATGTTTTCCTTGAAATGTATAATGATTTGTAAATTACATTATCTGTAATAAAATACCATTTGTGCAAGATTTCTTAAAGATTAGATACATATTTAAATGGAGGAGAAAGTCTTTTTTTATGGGGGAAAAAACACATTTTGAAGCCTGGAGCTTCATCTTTTAAATATCCGGTACAAATTTCTGTATAAACTTTTCTTCCAAGTTTATTCATTCACCAGAAATTTATTGGGCACTTACTGTTAGCTAGGCACTGTTCTTGTGCAGGTGAGATAAAGCAATGGATAAAACCAAATTCTGGAGGGAGAAATAAAATATGGTAAGCACAATGAGGAAAATGAAGACGAGATGGGGTAGGAGATTCCATGAGGATTGGTCTTGGAGGAAGTGCTGGGATTCTGGTGGTGAATAGGAATGTGGGCCATGCTGAGACTGGCCCTAAAGATGCCAAGGCTGACAATGGTGCTCCTGTGAGGGTTGGGGAGGGGAGGATGGAGAGCACCCTACCGAGTCTGGGGTCCCTCGTCACTCTGACTGGTGGTGACTTAGAGACTGAAGGTGCAATCAAACCCAGCATGCCCCTGGGCTCTCCCTTGATTGTTCTTGAAAATGGGACCAAGTAGAAAATTGCTTTTCATTAACTTTTTTAAAAAATTGAGATATAATTCACATACATTAGTATTCATCCATTTAAAGTGCACAATTCTGTGGATTTTAGTATATTCACAATGTTTTTCTACCATCTCATTCCAGAACATTTTCATCACCCCAAAAAGAACCCTGTATCCATTAGCATTCATTCCCCCTTTCCTGACCCCTCTGCTTCCAGCCCCAGCAAACACTAATAAACTTTGTCTTTATGGATTTGCCTATTCTGGACATTTCATATAAATGGAATCATACATTATGTGGCCTTTGTGTCTGGCTCCTTTAACTTAGCATGATGTTTTCAAGATTCATCCATGTTATGCCAGGTATCAGTATGTCATTCCTTTTTATGACTAGTAGTCCGTTGTATGGATGGACACATTTTTATCCATCAGTTGGTGGATATTTGTATTGTTTCCACCTTTTGGCTATTATGAATAATGCTGCTGTGAACAGCCATGTACAAATTTTCGTGTAGCCATATATTTTCAATTCTCTTGGGTATATACCTAGGTTTATTAACTCTTTTAAGTAAAGGTAATAAATGCTTTTTTATTAATTTCTTTAATTTTTATGAAAATTTAAAAGAAGGGCTAAATTCTTGTCACCTTCAAGGCAATGAAAAATAACTAGCTCTTGCTGGAGACTCGGCAATTCTGAAAGGATTAAAGCAAGACTACTTCCGCCAACCTCTGCTGCTTCCTTATTGCCCAGGGTTTCCCAGATTGAAAATTTCTGATGTTTGATCTCAAGGAATTACACGTACCAATTAGGGAGCACAGTTTTATTTGCTTAAGCTTTTAAAGTGCAATATGATACCATTTAGGCAAATAAAAAACAGCCTCGTGATAGTTGGCCAACTAGGAGAGCAAATTGTAGAGTGTTTTGTGAGGGATGACTGTGCCTTTCAACTTTAAAACACAAACCTGATTGAAATACAGTAGCTTTAAGGGGTGATCGTGGTCATGGAAGGTACCATGTAGCACATTTGGGAGGGAGAAAGGCCAACAGAAATATTGACACTTAAATTTTAAAAGACTTATTAGTTTTATTTTTGGTTGTGTTCTTAGCATTTTTCCCCAATGTTTTATTTTGAAAATTTTCAAATATACAGAGAATTAGTACAAAGAATGCTCATGCTTTTTGTCAATTAACATTTTTCCACCTTTGCTGTATCTTTCGGTATATTATGTTCTTTTAAAATGAACTCTTTGAAAATAAGTTATGGATGTCATAAAGCTTTTTATGCCTAAGAGAAAGGACCTTCTAGCTGACTGTAATACAATTATCATCCCTAAGAAAATTAACATTTGTTCAATAGTATCACCTAACATCAGATCCATTTCCATTTTCTCTTGTTGTAACGTCCTTTATAGCTATAGTTTTAGGTCCACAATCTAGTCCAACGTCCACTTGTTGCATTTGGTTGTTAGGTGTTGTACTGAGTCCTCGATAAATATGGGGTCATGAGAATGACTCCAAAGGAGCTTGTGTAGAACTGCTGTCTCTGCAGAGTTTGATCCGGATAAGATTCTCTTGGATGTGGACTTTGAACTTTTTTTATTTGAGATGTATTAATGACATTTTCATGTAATTTAAATATTTAAGTTGTACAATTATTGAGCATTCACTATGTGGAGGACATTGTACTGGCCTCGAGGATCTGACATAGGAAAGGCAGACACACTTATGAACAAATCAAAGCAATACAGGGACGATAAAGCAAGGACAGAAAAGAGCACACGGTACAAAGGAAAGCTTCCTCAAGAAGATGGATCCCTGAAAGACTAATCAGTCTAGTTTCTTGAAAAACCAATAATTAGAAGACAGCAAGGCAATTGAAGTAGAGGTGCATATTGACCTAAGGCATAAAGGGTTAAAATAACATATTTTCTGGAAACTTGAAGTTTCCATGGAAACATGAAATTTAATATTGGAATGTAAAGCAGGGTAGGTGGAATGTATAGGACCTTTTGTGTTATTATCCTGCAGGTACCAAGGAATCAGAAAAGGGTTTTAGGTTGGAGAAGGAGATAATACAGTTTACTTAATGGAGGATTGGCTGTAGCAAGGAGAAGTGGGGATGTGCACTGGATCTTTGGTTGGGGACTTTGGTTGGAGGCAGGAGACCAGCTGCTGCCAATGGCCCAGGTTACAGCTGGTGAGGGCCATAACCAACCAAGGCAATGGTGGAAGGAATTGAAAAAAAGAGGATACATTTGAGAGCAAATGATGAGAGGTCCTTAAGGCTTATTGGATGTAGCCAGGGGATATCCAAAATGACTCCAAATTTCTCACCTGAGTAGCTGGGTGAGTGGTGGTGCCAAGACAGAGAATACAGGAGGAAAAAAATGGAATGTTCGAGGGAGGGGCAGATAAGGAAAAAAATGAGTTAGGCTTTAGAATTGCATTGGAGAGCTCAGTGAGATATCTATGTAAATTACCTCTGGAGAACTGCAAAGGGGTGTGAGCTGGAGACAGTTTATGGGGTGGTAAAACCAAGGGCATGGATGAGATTGCCTACGGAGGGCAGAGGGAAGAGGGCATCTAAAGTGATACGAAGACTGAACAGAGAGGAACGTTGTCATGAAGCACATGGGCAGGGGAAGAAGATCTGGTCCCTGATGGGGATGAGAGAAATGGTTAGGAAAGGAGAACCAGGAGATGTGTCATGGAGCCCGGAGACGAAGGAGAGCTCTGCCCTGTCAGGAGATTGTTCCAGTTTGCAATTAAACCCAAGCCTGGAGTCCTTTCAACTTTATAGCCTTGAGCCTTAAGCAAACATCTATAATTCTCTCACATAAAAATAAGATGTAAGTTTTCTGAATAAAAGAGTTAAAGTCACATTTTGTATCACTAAAAACTGGAGTGAGGTCTAATTAAATACTCATTCACCATCATTTTTTATTGGGGAAATTCACATTTTAGTTGAGACTTTGTGGTAGAGAATGAACTTACAGGCTCTGAAATCAGACCGCTCTGCCACTTACTACCTCTGTGGCTTTGGACAAGCCTCAGATTCCTCATCTATAAAATTGGGTTAATTTGTCCCTGCTTAGATTAGTTGTGAAGATTATGTGAGATAATAGTTATAAAATACCTAACGTGGTGTTTAACCTGGACTCATTTAATAACTGTTCCCTTCTTTGTTTTTAAACAATGATTATCACTATAAAGTAGAAAGCTCTTAATGTGTTTAGAATTATATTCTTCCCTGAGTGGGAACATTGCCTCTTTGAAATTCACACATACCTACTTCTGGTGACTGCTCCACCTTTGGTTCACAATGCCCCAATTATAAACCTTTGCGGGAGCACGAACACACCCACAGATAAATGCATCCCTCCTTCACGCTCACCTACATACATACCTGGCCAAAGATAAGAACTCCTGCGTATATGCCCACATAGAGGACCTTACATCCAGAAAAGACATAGTACCAAAAAGAATTACATATATATATACATGTTATACAACATATAAATATATCCTTAGAAAGAAATGTCTCCTTATACTCACTACATTCACACAAGTACATTACATATATTCTCACATTCAAAAGTGGTGGTGTGGGGCCGGCCCTGTGGCTTGGTGGTTAAGTGCGCGCGCTGCAATGCTGGTGGCCCGGGTTCGGATCCCGGGTGCACATCGAGGCACCACTTCTCCGTCCATCCTGAGGCCGAGTCCCACATACAGCAACTAGAAGGATGTGCAGCTATGACATACAACTATCTACTGGGGCTTTGGGGGGAAAAAATTAAAAATAAATAAAATCTTTAAAAAAAAAAAAAAAGTGGTGGTGTGTGGTTGGAATAGGAAGGAGGGTGAAGTGAATGCTTGTACCTAAGATAGCAGTAGGAGTTGGAATTCGTTTTTCTGGTAATTATCCCTTATAATTCTTTTCCCCATGCTTAGAAAGCTGCCTCAGGTAATTATATAATTGCTCTCTAGAAACTAAGGCTTTTTGTTTTTGTTGTGGTAGTGTTTTGCTACATCATTTGCCTGTGTGCATATACTTAGCTACTTAGCTTTAAAATGAAAATTAGAATAAAATTAATGAAAACTCCAAATTTTATAACTCTTGCAGACATGCTAAAACCAACTTTCTCATTCACCTAGTATGACATATATAATAAAATACTGCTTATTTGGAGAGAGGACATACTGTTTAAAAAATTAAACTCCACTTTTTTGTATTTATATCAAGTAATGTGTGTGATTTTTCCTTTATTGTGTTGTGTGTAATCATGAAGTTGATGTCATTCCTTGGTTTTGTTAAGGCTATATTGCCCCAGGCAGGTGAACCTGACTTATTTTATAATGCTTTTGCTTCCTGAATTCTCCTTGTCAACAGAACTGAGAAATAGATTCATACCACAAAGCAAATGTGATCTATCATTTCCTTGTTATTTTGGAGACAACTTCATTGAGTTAACCAGTAAACATTTCTCAAATTCTAATCGTTTCAGATATTTTTGAAGTGGCATCATTTACTTTTAAAATTATTTTTTGAATCGAGGTACAGTTAATATATAATAAAGTGAACAGGTCTTAATTGTTCAATTAGAAATGTTAAGATAATTATATGCACCCATGAAACCATTATGCAAAACAAGCTACTGAACATTTCTATCACCCCAGAAAGTTCTCTTGTGGCGCCATTTACTTTTTAAAATAAAAACCACTGAATTATACACTTAAAAAAGGTGAATTTTATGGTATGTTCCACATTTACTTGCTGTCTCACCTCAAGAAATAACAGAGGCTGGCATAATTATTTTCCACCATATGCAGTAATCCCTCCCTCCACCATATATTTCATTTGATTTGCTTTTTTTCCAAAAACACAAAATTGAAAGTTGCTAAAGATTGTAAAAAACACTGACGAGACCAATGGGGCCAGGGCTTGTGGTTTAGTCTGTCCTTGTTGTGACAACAAATAGGCTTCCCTGGGCTCTGGCGTGGAGAGACCTGGGCGCGGAGTCCGGACACTGGGT